TAAGGATCACTAGTGGTGCAATAGGATAAACACTGGGCTGCTAACCACAAGGTCAGCAGTTCAAAACCACCAGTCTCTTCACAGTTGGAAATCCTATACAGGGTCTCTATAAGTCAGAACCACCTCAACAGCACCTAACTACAGTAACAATGTACAGAAGCACACTGCCACATCCTTCTCCTGCGAAGCAGCTAGTGGATTTGAAATACCAACCTTTCAGTGAACAACTTCCTGCGCTGGAAGGAATTTGACTTCAATTTATAGAATCTCTATGAGTCAGAGTTGATGGCAGTGGGTTTAGTTTGGGGTATAAAGATTTATCCAGATAAAATACAGGGGGCAGGGCTTGATGGTGAACTAGGGAGGAAGGCTGTGTAGACCTCCACTAGTGGTAACATGGAATACTGGACAAAACAGTTTAAAAGGATAGTCCCAGAACTCTGAACTTCATATAAAGGGATATGTAGTATAACTGAAAGCTTACCACAAGTGATTTGGAGCAGAGGCCAGAAAGAAGGTATTTCCTGATTTACAATGGCCATTGAGTCCCGGTACAGCCATTTTGAATGGGAAGAAGCAGATACAAGGTCAAGAGAGCACTCCCACCACAGAGAGCTGACTGATCAGAAATAAGGTGCAGAAATATTTTTCATTCTTTTATTATCTTTTGTCTGTCCACCTATACACTGGGGACTAAAGGGAATACATGAGAGAGTGAACACCCCCAGGGAAGGTTCTACTATGCACGCGCATGTGTCTGCACAGCAAGGACTGCTGGGTGCAGAATTGAATAAGTAGAAGGAGTCAATGGGAAGAGCTTGCAACAGGAATATCTCCCAAAACAGGTCTGGCCCGCCCTGGACTGGTTCTTATACTAGGAGAAACACCTAAACAGACTTGAAGGGAGATAAGAGAGGCAAGAAAGGAGAAAAAAGGCCAAAAACAAAGCTTTGAGTTACATTCCAAGGTGCAGTGGGAACATTTTGAAATTTGTCAGGCAGCTTTGAAGGCAAGAAGCCAAAAAAGGAGTGTTAAAGTCTTAAACATATCAAAATATGAGTTTTTTTTCCTGCAATTTTGGACTTTTATTGTCCAGGCCAGTTTTTGGGCCCCCTTTTATCTTGTGGGAGTTCTTTATCTCCTTGCCTTACCCAACAAGAGACAGTAATTGTGGTCATACAGCCAAGCTACAATTCCATCCTATAAAATCCCGACATCTGGGACAAACCCAATGCCATCTGCTATCCACCAGAAGAGCATAAAGAATCAACACCTACTAAAACCACTGAGTCTAATACTAGAGAAGCCATCTCTCCTGATCACATGTACCAGGAGGCAATCAGAGAGCTTAGGAATATACCAACATACATTCACCTAATTATTGAAAATATAGCACCATCACAATGTCTAGAAAATGTCTGCTCATGGCCAGAAACAAGACAGTAGCTCAAACATATGAGCTGGAGGTAGACTTAGAATTTCTATTGGAATGAGTGTAGGCTTTGGAATTGCCACATAAGGAATTCAGGAGAATGATATTGAGATGCATCTAAATGTCCCACAAAAAGATTGAGGAAAATAAGGAAGAAATCAGAAAGTGCCACAGTAACCATCAAATAAGATAGAAATAGCATTGGAAAAAACTCAAAACCTGCAAAAAGATTTAGATGATTAATACTAAAATATCAGAAATGGACTGTACACTGAAAAGGCAAAGGAGTAGAATTGAAGCGACGGAAGCCAGAATCAGCAAGGTTGAAGGCAAATTTCTCAATACTGCTAAGATAAAAGAGCAAGCAGAAAAAACCCTCACAAAAATCTGAACAAAGACTAAAGATTTGTATGGGACAACATGAAGAGGCGTGACCTATGTGTGATTGGAGTCCCAGAGCAGGAAGTATCACAGAAAACCACAGAGGAGATAGTCAAAGAGCTGGTGAAAGAAAATTTCCTGAAGAATGAGAAGATAAGCATTCAAGGAGCTGAACAAACCTCATATAGGATACACCAAAAGAAAATCATCAAAACATATCATAATCGAATTCTCCAAAATCAAAGTCAAGGAAAGAATCCTGAGAGCAGCTAGGGGGAAAAAGAAGTGTTACCCAAAAAAGCAAGCGAATAAGATTAAACTCTGATTTCTCAGCAGAATCCATGCAAGCAAAAGGGCAATGGGGAGACATATACAAAACCCTGAAAGAAAAAAACAACAACACAAAGAATCATTTACCTAGCAAAGTTGTCAATCAACTATGATGGTGTAATCAAAACATTGTAAAAGCCAAGCCAGTGCTTCAAAGCGTCCTAGAGGGGAGTTCTTTGGATTGAGAACTAACAAGAACAAACAACAACCAGAGATTGACATATGTGGGAATACCACCTGGAATTCACAGTTGAGAGATGAAAGAGTCCAGAGCAGAGCAATATCAAGAATGACACCAGAGGATCTGGGAGAGATCTATAATAATAAAAAACTACAATCAAAAATAAGGGAAAAACATAGGAACAGACATCTAGGTGGTGAGGAGGTCAGGTAGATTTCAGGATAAATGACTTTTAAATGTTAGAAAAAGTTATTATAGGATAACCTCAAAGAAAATTAATACTTCACAACATATCAAGAAAAGGACAATTTTAAACTATGAAGGAAACATTAAAACTCTGAAGAAAGTGACAAGAAAAAGCACACACAAAAAG